CATGCAATGACCAGACAGTGAGAAATGGCTGGAAGACATGGATGTTGAAGTGGAAGCGCTGCAACAACGCAGAACGAGGAAGTTGGTACCAGGATCAACAATGAAGGGAAAGAAGATTCTTAGCGAAAAAATGGCGTTTCGGTATCAAACAAAGGCACACAGCTTGATCAAGAAATACAAGGCTCGTTTGGATGTTCGTGGCTTGGAGCAGACTTAATTTGCGCACTACGACCAAATCTTCAATCTTGTTGAACGCCACCCTTCCATCCCTGTCCTACTTTTGGTGCCCCACCCTCGCTTGGGGGAAGCCGACATAGTGGTCCGGCGCGCAGGAGATGTGACCGATCATCCACAGGGTTTGACGCGGGCAGGTCGACGTAGTTGGTCGACCACCAGGGAACCACAGTGTTGCCGCCGACGAAGGGAAGACGACGGCCTAGTTTGGCAGGTGTGGTCGACGAGGGTGATCGTCGACCTGCACAGGTCTGTCGAGGAGCCGTCGAGGATAGGAGCTCGACGGTAGCAGCAGACCGTGTTGGTCGACAGAAGGATCCGTCGACCAGGGCGGTCCTCGAAGGGAGCTGTGGTCGACAAGGGAAGTCGTCGATCAGGGCACCGCGTGGTCGACCCGCTCGACCAAGTTACCTCGGCGAGGTTCTGCGGAGGCACGCGAACGACGTTGAGGCCGCGATGGTGAAAGCTACTTCAGGCCAAGCGAAGTCAAAGTGGATGTGGCTCATCAAGTGCAGATAACAACCGACAGATGCGTGACGGTGCATGTCGGGCCAATCGTCTGCGCGCACCTGCGAGCGTGCGCACTGGTGTCGTCTACAGGTGCAATGTTGGACAGCTGCCTTGCTGTAGCGTTAGCATGCCGTCGACCTGCTCTGTTGGCACGCTGCGTTTCTACAGCACTGGCGTGGCTCCTCTACGCAACGCTGGCAGGCGGTCGACCATGCTCCGCAGGCGGTCGACCATGCTCCGCTGGCGGTCGACCAGCTGCCCTGCTAGGTTGCTGGTCACTGATGTAGTATTTCTTGCCATTGTTTGTATCAAACATTCTGTAATACTACATTCCCTAGTGAAACTCTTGCCAAATTGCTCTGCGAACGCACAAGTGCTAGATAACGCTAAGGAAGCTACGATCACTCTTTGAGCTCGTGCCAACCCCCTCCGTAGTCTAGCTCCCGGCCGTTGTAGAGTGAATCTCCGCATGGTGCGGTGAGCGTGGACAGCCCCGCAGATTACCCTCAAATAGGAGCCAACTTTTGCACCTACCAATTTTTTTGCAGGCCGGCAGCCCGTGCGAGCCATGATGCCTACCTTGGCAGCGGCCGGTGCGGTAGAGGACACCTTGGAGGAAGGATTGGCTGATGCGACGAGACGCCATGGATATGGCGAGTTCGGGACGGTGCTCCCCTTGGAGGTGGTCCTCCTGGAGATCTGTGCGAAGTGGGCGATGAAACACCCCTCCCAACCTGCATCTCCTCGGCCGGTCCGAAACGAAGGCGGCGTCGACGAGGAGGTCGATGGTGGTGCACAAGTCAGCGGCAGCGCTAGCAGTCGACCAGCTGCTTGGCTGCTAGGTTGCTAGGCTGATATAGTCACTCTTGCCATTGTTGTATCATTCATTCTCTAATCCCAACTTTGCTAGTAAAAACTCTTGCCAAATTGCTGTGTGAACGCACAAGTGCTAGAGAATGCTAAGGAAGCTATGAACACTCCTACAGCTCGTGCCAACCCCCCAAGTCTAGCTCCCGACCTTTGTAGGCTAAAATTCCGCACATATCGGGCTTCGCCAAATCGGATGTATCAAACGCCTACCTCTATGACATAGTCGTCGCTACCATATATGTCGTGCAAACGTATACGTTCGAGGAGGACAATGTTAAGATGTGCCTTCTCTAGAAGTCGCTCTACGGGATCAATCAAGCCACGCGACTGAGGCAGCAATACCTTCACGCAACCCCCATCGAGCTTGGATTCCAGGAGCTCGCTCACGACCAAGGCATGCACCGCCTCGAGCACCATGGCGACTATATCTTCCTCATAGCCTACGCCGACCACCTCTTCTACACCGGAACAAGCAACAAGCTTCTTGAACGCTTTGGGAAAGCATTGAAGAGACGCGATTCCTCATACTTAACACTCAGTTCGTCAAGACCATCCATAGCTCCGCCACCAAATACGCCGAGCGCTTTAAACAAATTCGCCATCGCGCCCATTTTTATTTTCACTCCATTCTGCATTCTTCCGCCCAGACACCCCCCGACACAACACCACTCTCTGTGGTTGATCAACAGCTTGAATGCATGCTATTCTCTTCCGTCACGTGCCGTCCGGACATATGTTATGTGATGCTATCATTTGCATTCACGTCTGTCTGCCTCCCATCATATGTTCGTGCGTTGCATGCGTGGTGTGAGCGTGTGCAAGAATTTGTGTTCTGTATGGTTTGGATTCTCTGAGTATGTGTGAATGTTATTTGGCTTGAGCAGATATCTGAAGTGACTCCTCTGCTCAAGAGTTTTTCGACGAACCAAGAATCGCCGCGATTGGAGCAAGAACGAGAAATATATGATCGTTCGAAGTTTTGGTTGTGGCGCGGCGACTATGGAAATTTGCGGGTTGACTCAATATGGGGTACAGACTTTTGGGGGTTGGGAAATTCGTCTTTTCTACAGTAGTTGATGCCAAGTGGCTGGGAGAAACCAAATTGGGTTGGCAAGTGTGGCCAACTTGGGTGAGGTGGATTGTGGAGGTTGGGAAAGTGACAAAATTAAGAGTGGGGTTGCTATAGGGAGGGGATTTGATGTGCTTATGGGATTTCCTTGGTTGGGGACTCCTTGGGGACCTTCCCTCTCGTCCACCTCATCGCCTCCTACCTGGTTTATTGCCACTCTAACTCTCTTGTGTGGAACATGGGAGATGATTGTGATTGAGTTAAGTTTCTATGGCAGCATACCCCCTAGTGCCCCGAAAATCATAACTCGAGCTATACTCCATCGTTTGATATGATTCAAATTAGAAAATATAGCCACAATTAAGAGATACAACATATCCGAGTTTGAGAGAATTCTAACTGTGCGTTTTTTGTCGATGGCGTTTCTTGTGATGACGGATTTTCTGTCCAGAATTGTAGTTGACGATTTTTAGACATTTCGGCCTCCTAATCTTCGTAGACTCCGTCCTTGTCTCTAACAAGTGTTATTAGAGCTGATTAAGGACTTTGTGAAGATTCTACTGAAGTGTGAAGACCCTCCTAGACCCTCCATGGCTTGTGGGTGTGCCTAAGTGGAGTCCTGGAGGTTGGATGTGACTTCTGCTAAGGGGAAACTCTGCCAAAAGTTCATTGGCGCTGACACTTGTGAAGATTTTGTATATCTACATTGTGACCAGCAAAGGGGGGAGCTGAAGGCTGTGATTGGGAGCAGAGGAAATGAATCAAGGGAGTGGAGATGCAGGTGAGAAGAGAAGTGAGCCGCCACCATCCAGGATTGAGGCATTGGATGGCTCCAACTACGAAGAATGGAGCGGGCGGATGAGGAGCGCCTTCAAGCGCTACAAGCTGCTGAAAATTGCTATGGGTGAAGAGAAGATGCCGAAAGAAGGAGATGCTCGCGGTCGGTGGATTGAGAAGAGCGCGGTGGTGTACGACCTCATCCTCCAATCGGTCAACAACGACATGTTCCAGCATATCAAGGACTTGGTGGAGCTGGATGACTCCGGCCCGAAGGCGTGGAAGCTAATGCGCGACGTGATTCAGCCCAACACGCTGCCGATGGTGATTGTGTTAGAGAAGGAGCTGGCTGCCCTCTCCATGCGACCGGGAGATGATGTGAAGCCGGTTCTTGACAAGATCAAGGACACCTATGCGAGGATGGCAGCGGCGGGCAGCACTGTATCACAGATGCAGCAGTGCACTAAGATCATCTCGGTGCTCGACAATTCGTGGGACAACCTCATCCCTATTCTCAACACTCAGCAGGATCAGTGGACACCAGAGTGGCTACAACAGCAGTTTCTGCAGGAGGACTTCCGCAGGTGCCACACGGGTGGTGGTGCTGCCAACAAGACTGCTGAGGGATATGGAGCTGCAGGAGATAGCAGAGGAAGAGGGGGAGGGAGAGGCCGAGGCCGTGGGAGAGGCTTTGGCAGAGGGAGAGGCCGAGGTGACTACAACGAGGGGCATGGGAGCTCTGGAGGCAAGGGGAGCATCCAAGTGGAGGGTGCGTGCTGGTACTGCAAGAAGGCTGGACACCTCTGGTTCAATTGTTTCAGCCGGCCTGAAGGATGGGCGCCTCCAGTCATGAAGCCGCCAAGTGGTGCTCGTGCACGAGGTGGTGCTGTGCAAGGTTCAAGTGCACAAGGTGATGGTGCACAAGGTAAAGCTGACCGTGGGATGTTCCTTATGGTTGAGGATGTGAAAGGGAATTGGGGTGATGTGGGTTCAGTTGGGAAGGTTGTGATGCACCCCCTTGTAGAATTCCACTACCATAGAAGCTTGATAGAGCTTGAAAGCACGATTCCAACGCACCAACGATTGCAGGAAACGGTCCACTATAGCCAGAGTTACACACAAACATAGCAGTGATAATGACCTAGTTGATTTCTGGTTTGTGCTCTCTGGTTTTATACTAGGACGCAATACAAAATAAAAGCACACAAGAAAGTGTCGACCCGGGTCGCACGTTGAATTTCGTCGACGCGAAATTTGGAGCCTTGAATTTCGCCGAGCGAATTCCATTGACTGGAATTCCGTAGACGAGAATTTCCGCGACAAGAATTCCGTCGACCACCGACTGTAACTCCCGTGCGAATTCCGTTGACTTCGACACTTCGCTGCCGAGTTTCAAACCGAACGCGACCCGAGATCGAATTCGCCAAACTGTCCCCAATCTGTCCCCAAACTGTCCCCAATCTGTCTTGACAAGACACTTTTGGGACACTTGAATCGAAAGGTCTCCAGTTCGAAACTCGTGTGCACCATAACCAGCGCCTTAGCAGACACTGTCCTGAATCTGTCCTGAGACACTTTCAGGACAGATTTGAAGGTCACGAGTACGAATCCCAGCGCAGACATTTTGTTGCTCATGGCAGCATTTCCTTCTAACACGCCCCCTTGCTGTCAGAAGCACGCTGGACCAGCCCGGCTGCTGCACAGCATCGGTTGAAGGCTGCCTTGTCGAGCCGCTTCGTGAAGAAGTCCGCGGGCTGCGCCGTCGTAGGGATGTGCTGCACCTCCAACTTCTTCATGCGCACCATGTCCTGTAGCCACATGTGGCGACGGTCCACATGCTTCATGCGCCCCTGCAGCCCGCCCGCCTGGCTGAGCTGCACCGCTGACATGTTGTCGACGTACAGGGTGGTGGGGACACCCTTCTTGAGCAGTTGAAACTCCCACAGCAGGAACCTTAGCTTGCGCCCCTCCTTTCCCGCTTCCACCGCAGCCACAAGCTCGCTCTCGGTGGAGGAAAGTTTGGTCGCACCCTGTAGCTTCTTGGCCTGCCATGAAGCGGCAACTCCGCCAAGATTGAAGAGGTAGCCTCTCGTGGACTACCGGTTCTCCTTGTCGCCTGCATCATCCGCATCCGCATACCCTACGAGAGTCAAACTCTCTGGTCCTCCCTTGAACAGCAGCCCCTTGTCCGGTGAGGCAGCCCAGTAAGAAAGTGTGCGGAAGAGCTCATGCCAATGCGCATCGGTCATGAGGTGTGCACCTGCTGCAAGGTGGTCAGTCATGGTGCGATCGGCAAACAGCTCAGCATCCTCCATGACAAAGCTGGTAGAGGAGAGAGGGGTGATCGGCTGCTTCTTCGGTGGCGCCCCCTTGAAGAACCGCTGCTGCACCTTCGCCACATATGCATTCTCGGGGTGAGTGTGCCGCATGTTGAGCATCGCCTCGGTCCCCATCGCATATGTTGTGAGGCTGGCCGCTTCGTCATTCTCTTCCGGCGCTCTTGACACCACCTCAGCAAATGCCTTAGGCATACCGTTGCATGCCACCTCATCCGCCGTGCCATTGCATGCCGCTGTAGCCGCCGTATGGTTGCATATTGCTGCAGCCACTGTGCCGTTGCATGCCATCGCAGCCGCCCTGCCGATGCATGCCGCCGCAGCCGCCCTGCCGTTGCATGCCGATGCAGCCCCTGAGCCGTTGCTCGCCGCTCCACCCGCCATATCGGTGCATGCCGCTGCAGCCGCCGTACCGTTGCATGCCGCTGCAGCCGTTGCACCGTTCCTTGCTGGCCCCGGTTTCAGGTCAAGGCAGTGAAGGTGATGGCGGTATCGTGCCGTTGCAGCCACTTGACCTCCTGATGCGATGATGCGAGTGACACCTTCCTCGGTTTGCAGCTTTGCTCCCTTGTCCAAGAGCTGCCCAGGGGAGACCAAGTTGGCCTTCATTCCTGGCACAAAGAGGACATCATGTAGGGTCACACGCAAGCCGTTAGTGCCTTCCAGCAAAACCTCACCAACACCGGCAACTTCCTGCATAGAACCATCAAACCCTTTGACTGATTTCGTTGCAGATCGGTCACGGATCACCGTGAACCACTCCTTGCGGCCGGTCATGTGTTGGGAGCATCCTGAGTCAAGGAACCACAAGTCCTTGTCGTCGGCCAGCAACTTTGCAGCCGAACACGCGACGGTGAGCGCCACGCCCTTCCCGTCTCCTTCAGCTACGTTCACGGCTGCCGCGGGCGTTGTATCTTTCTTCTTGTTAGGGCACTTGGCAGCCATGTGCCCCTCCTCGTTGCAGTTGTAACAGTGCCCCTTGAATGGGGCGCTTCTTCTCCCACTTGCCACCCTTCTTCTTGTCCATCTGCTCCCTTCCTCCTTTCCCTTCCTTCCCGTTGACCCCCGTTGTAGCCACGGTGGTGTTGACAGCGCCCGAGAAAGCAGATGCATCGCTGGTGATCTGCTTGTAACTCTGTTCGATGGAGAGAGTCTGTTCCTCCATCAACACCTCACTGCACACGCGTTCCACCGTCATGTCAGGGCTGGAAATTTCGAGCTTGCGGCGAAGAAATCCGTACTCCAGTGGTAGGCCTTTCAGCACGTGGGCGGCAAACGTGGGCGTGTGGACCTTTTGTCCAATGGTCAGCAGCTCCACTCGGATGGTGCGGGCCCTATTGCAGTAGGATTCCGCCGTCTCATCATCTCCCTTCCTGAGTTGGGCTAACTGGGTCTGAAGTAGGGAAGCGTGGAGAGCATCACAAACAAGATATATGCCCATGCTAGCTGCCCGGCTTTCTCTTGCTGAGAGAAACCAGAGATGGACATTCGGATGGGTGGAGAAACACATCGGTTCAGCACCATGAATGCAAGCATTTGGCCCTTTGCGTACTCCCTTCGTTGCAAGGGGTTGTTCGGGGCAGGGCTTGGTGCTATCCCGTTGCAAAACTGCCACAAATCAGCACACTGGAGCTGAGGTCGGATGGCGCTGACCCACGCGGTAAGATCGTGCCTTCCCTCCAGCAGCGGCGTTACAGAGATGTGCTCTACCCCAAACTTGAATTGACCGTAGCTCGCCCCGATCATTCCCGTGTCAATGGTCGGTGCAAGAGCTCCTCCAACAACGCCCACAGCACTTGGAGCCTCGTGCACAGCTCCTCCTTCACCGGTTCCTCCTTGCTGGCCGCTCGCAGGTGCTTGCTCCGCCGCGCGCTCCCGAACCATGCGTAGTAGACGACCGTCCACAATGAGGTCGACTTCCTCATCACTCAAGTGAGGGTGGTGCTCACGAACGGACGCCTCCAGCTCCTGACAGGCATTCAGACCCTCAGCGCTCGTTAACCACTCCATGCGCAGTCACAACGAGCGACGGCCACACCAACGTGGGAACGAAGTGATGGGAGGACAAAATCAAGCCGCTAGTTGGATCGACGCAGATAACGCAGCTCTGATACCATGTAGAATTCCACTACTATAGAAGCCTGATAGAGCTTGAAAGCATGATTCCAACACACCAACGATTGCAGGAAACGGTCCACTATAGCCAGAGTTACACACAAACATAGCAGTGATAATGACTTAGTTGATTTCTGGTTTGTGCTCTCTGGTTTTATACTAGGACGCAATACAAAATAAAAGCACACAAGAAAGTGTCGACCCGGGTCGCACGTTGAATTTCGTCGACGCGAAATTCGGAGCCTTGAATTTCGCCGAGCGAATTCCATTGACTGGAATTCCGTAGACGAGAATTTCCGCGACAAGAATTCCGTCGACCACCGACTGTAACTCCCGTGCGAATTCCGTTGACTTCGACACTTCGCTGCCGAGTTTCAAACCGAACGCGACCCGAGATCGAATTCGCCAAACTGTCCCCAATCTGTCCCCAAACTGTCCCCAATCTGTCTTGACAAGACACTTTCGGGACACTTGAATCGAAAGGTCTCCAGTTCGAAACTCGTGTGCACCATAACCAGCGCCTTAGCAGAAACTGTCCTGAATCTGTCCTGAGACACTTTCAGGACAGATTTGAAGGTCACGAGTTCGAATCCCAGCGCAGACATTTTGTTGCTCATGGCAGCATTTCCTTCTAACACCCCTCACTCACTAGGTGATTGATTCAGGTTGCACAAGTCACATGACCCCACTGGCAGATTTACTTGACGAGGTAAAACCCATTGGGAAGATTAAGTTTGTGGCTGCCGCTTCAGGTGCTTTGCTCCCTGAGCCTGGTGTTGGGAATGCCAAGATGATGAGAGCCAATGGGAAGCTGGTGGGGCTTGGGAATGTCCTGCTGGTTGAAGGTTTGTCTGCAAACCTTGTTTGTGTGCGCCGGCTGCAGAAGAGCAAGGCCAAAGTGACCTTCGGCCCAACCAGCTGCCGTGCAAAGCTTGGGAATATGCTGCTGTGGGATTTGGAGGTGAAGAGCAGCTGCATCAAGGACCTGTGGCAGCTGCCCATTATCCCTTGGAATGGAAAACCACCAGCAACGGCAACAGCAGCGGCAGCGGCTAAATCACCTCCAGGAGGAGAGGAGACTGCACCAACTGATGGGGCCCTGGATGCAATCAAGAAGGTGCAGCAGCCACAGCAATCACATGGTGAGGTGCTTGCTGGTGTGGATGGTCTCAACTGCATGGGCCAAGGCTTCATCTGGGAGTGGTGAGGCTGATTGGGAGACGTGGCACGAGAGATTGTGCCACATCAACATTTCTATGCTGCAAAAAATGGTGAAGAATGAGAGCTTGAAGGGATTGGAGGTGAAGGGAGCAGCGAAGGAGATTGGGAGCTGCCGCCTTGAGACCAAGTTCACTAAATTTCTCTTCGACAGCAGCACGGGACCAGCCAAAGCTCCACTTGCGCTTGTGCACATGGATGTGGTGGGCCCCACAAAGGCCCTTTCTCTCTCGGGCAGCCGCTACTTCATAACCACTGTAGACGATCACACACGTGCGGTATGGGTGTACCCTCTCAAGACTAAGGGGGAAGTGGCAGCGGCTGTTCTTAAGGAATGGATGCCGAGAGCTCAAAGGTGGAGCGGACACAAGGTGAAGGTGATCCGCACTGACGTGGGAGAATTCATTGGCGCTGATTTTGAGGCAGTGCTGAAGAAGGAGGGGATCCAGCATCAGCTCACGGTGCCCTACAACCCTCAGCATAACGGCGTGGCTGAGCGCTTCAACCAGATCCAGCATCAGCTCACGGTGCCCTACAACCCTCAGCATAACGGCGTGCCCTACAACCCTGCAGGAAGGTGATCGCACTCTCCTTGGGCGTGCAGGGCTGCCGGATCGTTTTGGGTGCACTGTGGCAGGTCACCCTTGTGAAGAACAGGGTGATAGCGACTGTGGGGGACAAGCAGTGGGTCCCCTACACCAAGTGGTATGGGACTGCACCAGCAGTTAACATGCTGAGAGCCTTTGGGTGCATGGTGGTGTTTCATGTGCCTAAGGAGAAGAGGGGAAAGTTGGAAGCTTCAAGGAGATGGGGTGTGCACTTGGGAATTGCGAAGAACCACAAGGGATGGCTGCTATGGGACTTGAACAGCCAGAAGTTGACTGTTTTGAGGGACGTGAAGTTCCTTGAGTCCTTGTACTTCAAGGAGTGGAAGCAGCAGCAGCAGAAGCTTCCTGCTACACCATTGATTATCGAGGCCGATGAAGTGCAGCGGCCTTCAAGGCAAGTGGAGGTTTCTGTCTCCGAGGAGGTGATCTCTGGGGTGACTGAGGATGGGGGAGAACCTGGGGTGGAGGAGCAACAGCAGCAGCAGCTACAGCATCCGCAGCAACAGCAGCAGTAGCAAGATGCTCCACCACGTGACCAACGTCCACATGACCATCCTAGGAGGGATGTTCGCCCTCCTAACAGGCTGACCTATCCCAGCGTTGGAAAGCCAAAGGTGGTACGGGCTGGGAGTGTGGCTGACCAGTGTGATGTGGATAAGATAGCAAACTGCTACTGGGCAGCCGTCCCTGAGCCCAAGACTATAGCCGAGGCGTTGATGGGCCCGATGCTGAAAAGTGGATGCAGAGTGTGAAGGAGGAGTACGACTCTCTTTTGGAGAATGAGACACGGGAGCTGTGTGAGCTGCCTCCTGGGAAGAAGGCCATTTCTTCCAAGCTGATCTCCAAGCACAAGTATGGACCTGATGGGGAGCTGACCCGCTACAAGTCAAGGCTTGTGGCTAAGGGGTACCGGCAGACAAAAGGGAAGGACTTTGACAGAATCTTTGCTCCTGTGGGGACAGGGACAACAGTGAAGGTGATGTTGGGAACGGCTGCAAACCGCGGATGGTGTTGTTCAGGATCCGTCACTTTGAGAGCTTACGACGAACTCATTACTCAACTAAACGCAAATCCGCTCGGTAGGATTGTGCGCCTTAGGCTTAGCTACCATCTCCAAGTTGAATCATTCGTTAAGATGGTCTATAGAGTGAGAACCGATTGAAAACGTCCAGCAGCTGCATGACTAGAATAGTGGAGGAAGTACAAACATTAGGGCATAGGAAGTTGGAGTTGGGGACTCCAAGAGAACCATGAGAGGGAAGGGGTTCTCCAAGAGCTAGGGAAGGATGGTACGAACCTTCCTAGCAGCAAGGATGCAACCCTCATCATGAGGTCCTTGAGGTGTCACATGCAAAATCCAATCTAGTTGGATTTTGCCTAGGTGTTGCAACATTTGCAACCCATGCTAGAAACTTCTAGCCACCCCAATCCAAAAGTCAAAGTTGCCTTCCCTAACCACCCAACCAAACATCCCTTTATAGTCATGTCCCAAGTAATCACCCAAATTAGATATAACCCCAAAAGGTAATAAGAAATCCAAGTCTTGGAATTCTTGTAACTTGGGCGATCTTGGTATCGTTGGAAAGCTCTGGATTTCTCCTGCATGATCAAGCATGTAGAATTGGAGAAAACCACAGAGATGGTAACATCCAACAGCCATGCATAATGACATACGCTCATGCAAATCATGCAAGCACAAATAGCACGAGCACTAGGCAGGACGTTAGGATGACATGCACTCAGAATGACGTGCATCCAACAAACTCCCCCTCAGACTAACGGACTGCATGCACACACAATCACACATGCACTCATGACACTGCTGCCCACACTAGTGCAATGCCATGCCACACATCTTAGCACACTTCCAATGTGCGCTCTCGGGAAGTCTTTTGGTGAGAAAATTTGCCGCCTGCTTGCTAGCCTTCACATGGTGAAGCTCAACAGCTCCCTCCTTCACCATCTGCCTCACCCAGTGCCACTTAATCTTCATGTGCTTGTTCAGCCCATTCAGGATAGGATTATTGGCCATGCCAATAGCAGCCTCGCTGTCGGAGAAAAGTGGTGTAGGTCCCTGCTGTTCAGCTCCCATGTCCTCCAGCAGCTTCCTCAAGAGCACAATCTCCTTGATGGCATGGTACATCGCCATGTACTCTGCCTCTCCGGAAGACTGAGCAATCTCACTCTGCTTCTTGGACCGACAGCTCACTGTGTCACCTCCGGCCATGCACACAAAGCCGCCAACCGATGATTGATCCTCATCCTCTGATGCCCATGTGGCATCGGTGAAGCACGACAGCTTCAAGGTTCCAAGCGTGACCCCATCTGCTCCAATCTGCTTCAGCTGGCCGCCAGCTGAAAACTGAACACCAGCAGATGCCGTTGATCCGAGGTAGCGCACCAAACGCTTTGCCACCTCTAACTGCTCCTCAGTGGGCCGCTGCACAACTCTGGCCAGCTGCCCCACTCCGAATGAAGCATCAAGTCGTGTATGCACTGCAGCATACATCACACTCCCAATGAGTGACTGGTACTCATTCTGCTGCTCATCCTTGATTACATCATCCTCCTCAGCTGCCTTCTTCAGTTTGAAGCCCGCAGGGAACGGTGTCATCACAGTGCGACCCCCAGTCACACCATACCGCTCCATGACACCAGAGATATAGTGTGACTGATGCACCTTCAACCACCTCCTCTCAACATCCCTCTCAATCTGCAGCCCCAAGTAGTAGTGGAAATCCCCCAGCATCTTGCACTTGAAGTTGTCCATCAGCAGCTTCTGTGTCCTCTCAATCTGCTCCATGGAAGGTGAGAACAGCAGTATGTCATCGACATACACCAGCAGCAAGAGCAGCTGCTCCCCCTCACCAAGCAGAAACAAGCTGTGATCCGCCTGGGACGTCTTGAAGCCTCCACCCACCAGCACCTCCTCCAGCTTCTCGTACCAACACCTGGGCGCTTGCTTAAGGCCATAGATGGCCTTCTTAAGCTTGCACACCCGGCTGGTCCCATCCTCATAGCCGTCGGGCTGCGCCATGTAGATATCCTCCAGCAGTATTCCATTGAGGA